GGACTCGTCTTGTACCCAAAGTACTTGAAGTCCCCAGAAGGAGATAATGGACTCGTCTTGTACCCGAAGTACTTGAAGTCCTAGTTAAACAAAGAGTAAAAGAAAAGTTGATTTTCTTGATACTACAGTTTTATACAATAATATGTTTATATTATCAAAGTAAAGAATTTCGAGAAAAGTATATGTTCACGCTATTACATTTCGTACCTATTGTTATAATTGGTACCACTCAGCTTTTGCTGATCGGGTTGGCTCCATTTTTTTTAGGTAAACAAACAGAATAGTGACCGAACCGGAGAACAATGCTAGGGCGATGGAAGGATGGACAAGATGACATAAAGAAAGATAATAACAATAAAGATGTTATTTTGAAATATATATTTTGTACGAATATGTTAAGCTTCCGCATGTATAATAGTTACTCTGATATTATCAATAAATAAATAAGTTTTGTTTAATGCTCCATCTACCGATTCAAAAAGTTAGAGCCGTTAACACCGCGAGTCGGATATTCAAATAAATTCGGGTATCCGGGTCGTGGCGTTACAGTTCCAGTCCGGACCGTTTTAATAAAAACAAGTCGAGCCCGGTTTATACAAATCTTGACTCGGACCAGCCCGTGCCCAACCCCAGTTTTAATGGTAATGACTAATGAAACAAACATAATATTCACGATTTTATATAAATTTATTGTCTAAAATTTATAGAGAATTTGAACGTGGAAATTTGTCGAAATACCCAAAGCAACAGTATTTGAAATAAGATATAAAATACTTTCTCCGTTCTCAAAAAGATTTCTTATTTTGATCAAATATAAAATAAGGAAATGTTAAATTATAGTTGACTTCTAATTTTGTTCCTGATGTTATTGGTAAAAGTAAAATGTGATAAATAGATTTTTATTTAAAAAGTATGATGTGATAGGTACTACCGGATGGTATATGGTACATCCGGATGTACCTAGAATTCCTAGAAATAGGATATGAAAAATAAGGCTAAATGTGATTTTTGGTAGAAAAATGAAATATTTTGTTAGAAATGGAAAAGAAGCGTCGACAGCAGGGTTCGAACCTGCGCGGGCGAAGCCCAACAGATTTCAAGTCTGTCTCCTTAACCACTCGGACATATCGACTCGATTGACCTAACTACTAACTACGGAGTATATAATATATTAATATATAATATATATTATACTAATTCTTTTAGTCTTCCGATATCCCAACAAGGCCTGGTCACTGGACAACTCTCTATTTACAAATAACAGCCCATCATCATTTATACGAAAGTTGATACGAAAGTTGATGGGATAAATTATATGGTCAAAATTTAATGCTCTTTTCCTTCCCAAATAAACAATCTAGTTTGATTTTACAAAGTACTCCGTAAAAAAATGGACATAGTGTCTCTATTCTGCATTATTTCTCCACTTTTGATTTTTTTAATCAAAATTCATAAATTTTGACTTCAAATTAAATGAAAATGATATTAAATTTTGATTAAAAAAAATAATTTTATTAAATTTATTTTATAAAATATTTTTAAAATAATATTTATCTAATTAATAAACAATATATAAATTATTTAACCCATAATGAAATACTCATAGAGGAAAATAAATTATATATTGTATATTAATTAGATATAATTTGGTACAGTATAATACTCCGTAGATCCTTATTACTCCATATTTTTTATTATCCCTTCAAATTTTACCCATAATGAAATACTCTTTTCAGTCTTAAAAACTTTCTTATTTTGACTTTTTTTGTCAAATAGTTATACTCTTTGATCACAAACTAAACATAACTTAAATAAATAAATAATATAAAAATTTGATATATCAAAATTATATCATAATATGAATCCATTTATATTGAACATGAAAGGTTTTTATGATCGGTGGAAGTATTTTTTAGCATGAATACTTATCTTGAATTCTTTTTTGCAGTTCTAAAATGAGTTCATAAATTTTGAGATTTATATAGGGCATGTTTGCCTGTTTGTGAATAGCAATAGCATTGCTGAAAAGTGAAAATGATGCTGAAGAATGAGAAAAATGTGAGTCATAAATGACTTTCCAAAAAAGGAAAATTAAACATTAATTTGAGACAACCTACAAAGGAAATAAAAAAGATTAATATGGGATAGATGAAATATAATTATAATAAGAGAAATTTACTTAAATAATGCTAAAACATTGATGTGCAATAATTCCGCCAAATAATCTGACTTGATGGGCGGATTGTAAAAATAATCTTTATTCAAGAATTCGAGAATTACAAAATTATACACTAGGTTTAGTTTGATCAATTATGCATGGAAGCTAATTCCCGCGATTTGTGTGATCCTATTTCTCCGGCTCTTTCTCCACAACCTAGCTGCGGTCTCCTTCTCAGCGGGCAGACTTCTAACGACTCTTTGGTTCGGGTCAGCTCAGGCCCAAAGCCTTGGGCCGACCCGATACTAGCTTTCAAATATATGCAGGTCTCAAAGCACACCTGGGCATATACGGCCCATCAAACATATTGAATTTTCTTATGTAGCACCACACGTTTTAATTTCTATAAGTAGTATCTACTTAATTAATTCATAATTATTTATTAATCTAGTGTACTAAAATTCCCTTTATATAATTTTATATTTACTGTATGTCCTACCGTTCTTTGCCGGCCACCAATGACAAATTAAAATGCCAATGCCGGTGTCCCGTTGCTACTTTTTTAATGTCCATTATACATGATTTAGAGCATATTCTTTAGGACTGGAAAAAAAACTAGATGTATGAAGAAACTGAAAGAAATTGGAAGGATACGGAAGAAACTGAAAGAAACTGGAAGGAACTAGAAGAATCTGGAAAAAACTGAAAAAAAATTAAATGAAACTGAAAAAATTGGAAAATCTAAAAAAACATTAAATTTTTTGTGTATTTTTATATTATTCTCTTTCTAATTATTGTTGTTATAAATTAATAATATTGTTGTTGTTGTTGTTGTCATCATTTTATCTTAATGAATGATTTTTTTTATATATTTTTATATTATTCTCATTCTAATTCTTGTTGTTGTTATGAACATAATAGGTGTAGTAGTAGTAGTAGTAGTAGTAGTAATAATAATATTAATAATAATAATAATAATAATAATAATAATAATAATAATAATAATAATAATAATATCGTTTTTAGAATGATTGGTCAGAAAGTAGAAAGAATTTGAAGAAAATAAAAATAGAAAGAAACTAGACAGAATTGGAAAAAAATGAAAAAAACTGGAAGGAACTGGGAAGAACTGGAGAAAACTAGAAGAAACTGGAAAGAATCGGAAGGAACTGAAAAGAATTGGAAGACACTTGAAGTTAAAGATTCAAGCCCTAAAAAACATGCTCTTAATGACTTTTATGATTTACTATAATAATAATAATGTCTGATATCGTTGTTAATGCATGTCTACATTTTCTCGCAATTATAAATGCCAACTGCATTTGGCATCAATGATCCCGATCAGTAAGCAATATTTATAATTTTTACAATGTCTTACTGCCTCTGTTTCTTAAAACCCTTTCTCTTTCATTTTTTTCCAATTCCCTAAAATACTTCATTTTTCTATTAAAAACTACTTTTACCCCTACTTTTTCATACCTTACCTATCACATCATACTTTTTTCACTAATAACCAAACTATCACATCTTACTTTTACCTATCACATCAGAGGCAAAATTGGAAAGTCAACCAAAATTACACTTTCCTTAATTTAGCAAAAAGTCAAAACATGAACCTTTTTAAGGAACGGGGGAAGTATGTTTTTAGTTTTTACAATATCTCGGATCAGTGAGCAATGTCCATAATTTTTATAATGTCCATCAAAAGGAAAATATACGGATTGAGGAGAGAGCGTTGATTAAGGGGAGAAAAAAAGATACAAGGCGTTTTAGTAAACAAATATTATTAATTAATTAATTTAATGTTAGTTTAAAAATAAAATTGTTCGGTGCCATTGGAGAAAATTGTTAAGTTTTGGTGATTTTTGAAGCAAATTTCACTTTTGCTGCATTCGTTTACTCGTTATTTTGTTTTCCTTTTCACATATGCTTTCGAAACATAAGCTATTTTCCAAAGGCCAAAAAAAATCAGACTGGTCAAATAAATCTGAACTTGAATCTAAACAATCAAATACAGAGTACTAATAATATCATCCCAAAATATTTGTTCAATTAAATTAAATTAAATTATACGTATTGGATATTACGATAAGAATGATTTAATTTGATTTTTTAATAAGATTTTTTTTAAATATCTCCAGTATTTTTAATGTAATTAATAATTAAAAGTCTGCTAATTTCACTCTAAAAAGTCAAAAGCACTTAAAATTCTTGTTAATCATATTTAATCTATGAAGAAGAAAGAAGAATGAAGAATGAAGAAGAAGATCAAATTCAAGTTTCAACCATCCTATCTTATCTATATATAATTATATATATACATCTCTGATATGATCTTCATATACACTGAAAAAGAGGGTAACCAAATAAATAAAAATACAATAAATCAAGAAATACCAACCATTTCTCCAATTGGCTACAAAGAAGTCAAGAAATAGATGTTGAATTCACACTAGCTAATTTACTCTTACTTCCACGAATTTGTTTTTGGGCACTTCTCAACAAAGACAAAGTTACCCTCGGTGGCGAGGGTAGGAGGTCGGGGAACTCTAGGACACGTAATCTCCCCAGAGGCGATCCCGACAAAAGTTTCCTAAAATGCCCCTGACGAAGATGTCAGGTGCGTTTTTCAATGATTTCAGTGTAACAGTGGCAACTTTGAGGCACTGTTACACTGAAATCTTTGAAAATGCACAGAGGACACCTTTGCCGGGATCACCTCGGGGGCACGTGGGCCCCACCCGCAATCCTACCTCCGCCACTGGTTACTCAGTGGCGTTGAGATTGATCCTTCTTCCCCAACTATCTGCAAAAATCCGGCGGCGGGGCCCGCCGCCGGTTTCAATTATGCAACGGGTTGGGCCCGCCGGGGACCAGCCGCTTCGAAGGCCCGAAGTAGTTTTCGGACGGAGACGGCGTGGAGGAGAACCGAAACTTGTTCGGACGGAACGATGTCGAAGACGTGGCACTCTGCCCGTCGCCGCCGGAGGGTTTCTCTCGGAGCTCACGGCGGCAGTCGGAGAGGTGGGCGGCGGCGGAGAGGAGGAGGAAGAGGAGGAGGAGTGGGGCGGCGGGAAATTGGAGTGCCATGATTTTGTGATGATGAAGAAAGTGTTTGCAGGGGAGAGAATGAGAGAGAGAGAGAGAGAGAGAGAGAGAGATGAGAGGAGACAGTTTTATGTGCAGAGGATTAATTTATTCAGTAATGACAGGCAGGTGAGAAGTGTATTAATGTGCATTTAAGACATTTTGAAAAAAAGAAGAAACTTAGTACTAACCCCTGTTGGCATAATGACTAATTTACCCTTCAATTAATGATTTTCAACTTTGGGACCCTCTTTGAAATACTTATTTAAGACTATGCTTCTCACAATTAAAGTCTTATTTAGTGTTTTCTTATTTAATTTTTTCACGGTCTCTACTGTAATATTTTGATTATTAATATATTTATTTATATGTAGATATATTAGGAGTATAGATATATAGTACTTTCTCCATCTCGCAATATTTATTCAATTTGACTTTTTATAATCAAGCAAGATTGACCTTTTATACACGGAGTATATAGTTAAATAAAACTTACTTCTTTCGTTTCAGTTTATTCGTCCCGTTTAACTTTTTTGAGTCAAACTACTGGACGAACTTGTGTTATATATCAATGCAACAAATTCAAATTTTAATAGTTTTTAACAAAATAAATCTATTGAAATAATTTTTATACTAAAAAACATTACCATTTTTATTTAATTGAGCTCCAAAGTTCATTAAGTTTGACTCAAAAAAGCCAAACTGGACGAATACACTGAGATGAAGGTAATACATACGGAGTAGTATATTAATTAGATATGATAATATTTTGAAATATTTTACAAGTTATATTTAATAAAAAACTAGGGAAAATTATCACATATTTTTGCGCTCTTCGAAAACTAATCCTACTTTTCACTATCAGGGAAGATAATATCAGATTTCCTCATGTGTAGGAGTTTTGGAATGCCGTTAAGATGCTAACGGTTGCTTAACGGAACTTTTAGAAAAAACTAAGTATATTTCCTCATGATATTATTTTAGGTAAATTATTTTTTTTCATTTTTAATTTCTAATTTTAAATTTAAATGTATTTTTTATATTTTTTAATTAATATATAATACTCCATCCAGAAAATCCTTTTTGTTTTGACTTTTTTTAGTCGAACGGTAACACTCTTTGACAAAAATTTAAACATAATCTAAATAAATAAATGTTATAAAAATTCAATATATAAAAATTATATCCTAAGATGAACCTAATTATGTTTAATTTATTTTATAATTCAATATAGTTTGTTGACAATTCATGGTCAATGAGTAATACTGTTTGATTAAAAAAATCAAAACAAGAAAGGTTTTTTAAATCGGGGAGTACCAAATTTAAGTCTTTTTTAGTGTGACACTAATTATTGTGCACATTTTTTTGACATCCCTTATTTAGTCTTGGTGTCTCATAATAGCATCGTTTTGGTGTCTCTACTTGAATGCAAAGTGAAGACAAAACATAAAAAAATATGTTTGTACACATATATACCAATTTTGTAAATGTACAAGAACAATTACATAAAAAGTGTGATGCATATATATAAAGGTTAATTACTTTAAGTGCATTATAATCATAAAGAAATTGTACAAATAAGAAAGTCATACCATGGGATTATGGGAATAAGGAAAATCATTATAATTGAGTGCAAATGCAAAGTAGGCCTTTTTTGTGCTTAGATACTTTATAGGGTTTTTTAATTAAAACCTTTATATATTAGTCACATTATCATTTGACTTTGTTGAATGAGGGTAGATCAAACTTGATGAATTGTAAACTAAAAAAAAAACTAAACATGATGTTTGCTTGTACATTTATCAAAAATCATGTCATTATTAGGATTAGCGGTCGCCTTTTCGCCTTTTTTGTTTTCTTTTTTTTAGATTGTTTTCATCTTTTCTTAGTTTGGTCTATTATGGGGTCATTGGACCTTAGATTAATTATTAATACTCCATTTGTATTACAAAGCATTTCTGGATTTGACTTTTGATGTTGATTTTACAAAAATACATTTGGATGTGATGGGTAAAAATAGATGTGATGGATAAATTAATAGTAAAAAATGTGATGTAATATATATGTTAAGAATTAGTAGGGCTAAAAGTGACTTTTTAGTATAAATGAAAAAGTTTTTTTGCTACGCATGAAAAAGAAAAAAAGAAAAATTTTTGTGGGATGGAGGGAGTAAAAAAATACATGAATCTTTTCAAATAAACAAAATTAAGAAATAATTAATCAAATAAATTTTACGTACTCCCTCCGTCCCTGAATTTTGTTCACTTTTAACTTATTTTATCTGTCAGAATTGATGATAGAATTTGAACTCAAATTAAATTAAAGTGATATAAGATATTGATCCAAAAATAATTTTATTAGATTTATTTTATAAAATATTTCCAAAAATTATGTTATCTAATTAATATACGTAGTACAATATATATTTTATTTATTAATTATATATCAAAGGTGTGTGCTTCTTTGGTGTACCTTGGGTGAATATCAATTTTGTGGACCTTCTCACATAATTTTTTCTATTTTTTTTTAATTTAAAAATACAATTACTTATTTAAGTATTAAAGAAATACATATTTTATTCATGTGTGGATTCATGGTGGACTTTAGGCCCATCATAAAATTTTTGCCATCAAAGGTTGAAAATGATTCCTTATTAATTCTTTCATTATTAAACAAAGCACACCAACATATGCCGAGGGGAAACAAATCACGATCACATAATTATATTTAATTCTGCGTAAAATGCAAAAAAAAAAAAAAAGAAACTCAAAATAAAGACAAATGAAGCATTGTACTTGTTAAAGAGCATCCCACATCGGAAAAGTCTGAGGAAATTAATCGGTATATAAGCTCTTGAGTTGAACTAACTAATCGATTGGATTCAATCTTTTAATGTGGTTCAACCCAAGTGTCTTATTATCCAATCCAGTTGTTCATACCTCATCCTAAATTCTATCATGGAACCCGTGACCTCTTAGTCAACGAGGCTCCTTGATACCATGTCAAGGAACCAATTCAACCAAAAGCTCAAGCTTGTGGTTGTGGCCCAGGAACAGTTATTTATATTCTAACACGCCCCCTCACGTGCAGGTGTAGTCTTTTTCGAGCATTGCACGTGAAACCTTAATTTTTTTTAAACTGGGTGGCGCTGAGTTTTGAACTCGTGACCTCTTACTTAACAAGTCTCGGATACCATGTCAAGGAACCAACTCAACCAAAAGCTCAAGCTTGTGGTTGTGGCCCAGGAAAGGTTATTTATATTCTAACAGTACTTTTTAGTATTATTAAATCTAAATATAGTATTCGTTCATAGTTACTCAATTTGATAATGCACAAAAAGTCAATAATTTATTTTTTTAGTGCTATTGAATCTATTACAAGGTAATATTTGTTCAACTATTTTTAACCTAATGACTCAGCAAGAGCCAATGTCGCTATTTCTGTTGGGGCTGCTAGGAAGAAGTTCAAGCCGATGGCTTATAGGGTATCGAACCCAAGTGAACATTTCTATAAAGTTTGGGGAAATTCTCTTTCATGCCACTCAAATCAAAGAGAATGACATGCTCTATACCTACATAGTAGTAATTCAGAAATAACAAAAAATTAAATTCTAGAAAAAAAGTTAAGTAAGTAAAATAAATAATAATAATAATACTAAAAATAATATTATTATTATTATAAAATAATAATAATAAATTTCAAATAATTATGATTATGTTTTTTTTAATTTGTAGGACAAGAGTTTGGAAGTTGACTTTACTTTTTGTAACAACAATATAGTGGGAAATGTTGTGGTCGTGTTGGAAACGAAGACTTGTTCCTAAAGTGGACTAGACCCACACTTGTTTACTACGTAATTTATAAATTTATTTGGTCTCTTCTAAAACAAGTCATGATTTTGATTGGGTGTTTATGTTTGATTTTGAGTTTTGGGTGATGAACTTAATCATATGGTCAAAATAGAAAGCTCTAAATTAGACCTGCTAAGAAACTACCAAATTTTATCTTTGATTTCTCACAAAATCCATGGTAAAAAAATTTGTATAAAATTTACTTGCAGCTTTTGTGATAAAAGACTTGTATCTTATGTGTTGGATACAAGCAGATTAATAATATTTTGATCTTATATATATATATATATATATATAGGGGCGGACCTACGGTTGTGCAAGTGGGGTCAATTGCACCCACTCCAAAAAAAATTATTTATTAATAGTAGTATGTAATTAGGTATCATATGTAGACTAAATGCATCCAAGAAGAATATATTTATATGTGATTAGGTGCTATTTTTTTAAAAAAATGGAATAGAGAACACCTTTTATAATTGTGTAGAATTTTATGTTTTAATTATTTTAGATTTGGAAAATTGATTTAACTTTAATTATGAAACTTAATTTTAAAATGTTCAATTTTTTTGAAATGTATGAACAAGTTTAATTGTTTTAAAAAGATTCCTAAAATATACTCCCTCCGTCCCTGAAAACATGTCTCCTTTCTTTTTTCATCCGTCCCAAAAAACATTTCTCATTTCTATTAAAAAGTTACTTTTACCTCTTACTTTTTCATACTCTACCTATCACATCATACCTTTTTACTAATAATCTATCCATCAAATCATACTTTTACCCATCACATCAAAGGATATTTTTGGAAATTCAATACCAAAATACACTCTCCTTAAATCCCTCTTCAAAATCCCAACTCCCATGTTTTTTGGGGAGGGAGTACTTAGTATTTGAAGAAATTTCTAGAATTATTATTTTAGTTGTTTAGGTTTTTTTTTCTTTTTTGGTTAAAGCAATGAACGTATTATATTTTTTTATAGAAATAATCCTAAATAGGACTAAAACATAGAAAAAAGTACCAAAATAAGACTTTCATGTTTTTTTTCCAGAATAAAACTTTGCACTGTGGTAATGTGACTTTGCATTGTGGTAATGTAGTAGTGTACATGTGCAAATTACTATACTTTTTGGTAACGTATATGACCATGTTTGATAATGTAAGTCCTATTTCGGGAATAAAAACATAGAAGTCCTATTTTGGTAAATTTTCAATGTTTTAGTCCTAGTTTGGTCTTTCTCCCTATTTTTTATACAGTATTTCAAAAATATTACATACAACTTGCAATATTTATCTCAGAATGCTATTTATTGATACTTTTTTACCTTGTTTTAAATTTACTGCTATACAAATATCAACATTTTCTTTTTGTGAACAAAATGTGAACCCACTCACCGAAATTCCTAGGTCCGCCATTATATATATATATATATATATATATATATATATATATATATATATATGGGGCGGTTCAAGTGAGAATGCATCCTGGTGAAAGAAATAAGAATAAAATCTAGCCTTTGGATCTGATGCATCGTGCGGCTCAGATTGCATCCTGCACTCAGATTTTGAGATAGTGCATTTTTAAAGGATTTTGGTGCATTTCGACATGATGCATTTTCAAATCATTTTGGTGCACCTAATTTTGATGCAATCCTTACCCTTAGATCTCACAATCTAAAGTACCAGATTCATTCTTATTTCTTTCATAAGATCGCATTCTCACCTGAACATATATATATATATATATATATATATATATATATATATATATATATATATATATATATATATATATATATATATGCACACACACTCCGTCAGTCCCAAATTAATACTCTCAGTTTGACTTTGTATTGAACTTAAAAAATTTAAATTGTGTGGTTGAAAGTGACGCATATGAGATAAAAAATGAGTCGTAAAATGTTTTCCAAAATAGGAAACAAGTAGAAAGAAATAAAGATGATTAATTTGGGACAAAAATTGTACGATATTTAGTTTTTAACCGGCCTAAACAATAAAAACCGTATTTAAAATAAACATTTTCTCAAAAGCAACATCAATCTCAAACACTCAATGACTTATAATTGATATAACCTCTCATAATTAAGTTGTGTAATGTGTTATGTACATGTCAGTTTTTAATTACGGATTATATAAATTTAAATTGTAAATTTTATATGTTTATATCTAAATAAGCTAAATTAGAAATAAATGTGATTAAATAAAGTAAATAATAAAAAAGAAGTAATAATGAATGGAGGGATAATATGAAAAAGAATGAATCAGATCTTCGAGACCATTATCCTAGAGAAATAAATTAAACTTTATTTATATATTGATGATAACAAAAATAAAGGGACACTTTAAATTGGTGTAAACTTTTTAGAAGTAGTATAACGGTATAACCCACTGCCCCACTTAACCAAACATAACCCATGGTTAGATATTTTAGAGAGGGCAAGTGTCATAACTTATAGGGTCCCCAATTTTGTATAGGGCCTAATATTTTAAGAATTCACCATTTGTACTATATGAATTTATTTTTTTTAAATTTTTTAAAATGAATAAATATGCCCGAGTATATTTCTATTTTATTGTCAAATTTTTACTTTATTGATCATGAAAAAAACAAATTAGTACCAATTTTAGAACAATATTATCACAGAATAAAATAACATGTTATTAGACTAAAATCTCTCATTTTACATGGATCAATTATACACTCCGTATATAACATTTTGAATACATAA